ATCGCTATACCAATATTTGCTGTAAGTTTCAAATTTTCTTAAGTTTAATAACTTTTAATTCTTAAGAGGGACTGCTACTTGTTGAAACAAGCAAAAAAATTGAAAGAATAAAACACACGATTCACCACATGTCTAAGTAATGATCCGCAACTATATATAAAGGGTTTGAAAGTGGTATATTACTTCTCCAAATTTTTATAAACTATTGATTTTCTGTTTTGTTATTTGGAAAGAATTAAAAAACAAGATATGTATTTGTGTATATAAAAATGCAAATATGATTTTCTCATTCATATTTACCATAAGTACCAGAAAAAAAAATATGGAATAACGTCAAATGATCAATATTAAAAACACGTTGAATTCAGTTTATGTATAAGTATTTTTGGATATTCTCTAATAAAAGTCAAAGTTACTTACTTACATGACACCAAATGAAAAGCAATTTTTAAAAGGAACTAATGAAAAACGAACTATCAAAAGCGATGACGATTATTCCTTTGTAGCAGCGAGTGTAATAAATGTGGGGGAAAAGTGACTATAGCGTGCCCAATTTCGTTTAAGTTTTGTTTTCACTCGAGGATGCCAAAATTAAAAATATGCGTGATGCTTGGTAATACCTGCACTAACGCTGAGTAACTTTAAATCAATAATTCGTTATAGTAACAAATGAAGTACCACACAAAACTTTGCAAAAAACAAATATTTCATTGATTGATCTTTCATTGAGATACTAGTTCTAATATAAATGCAAATAATTTCTCTATCGTCAAGAAGGCATGAATAAAGTACTTTTGCCTAGGTCAAACTATTTTACAATAGTGTCAAGATCGAACAGTTTGGCCTAAACCAAACTGATTTGTCTTCAATCTGTAATCAGCGGAATTAGATTTCTAGGACCAACTAATTATCATGAAATCGGTTAAGATTAAGTTCCAAATCAGGACAAAAGTAGCTTACGTTGAAATAGGGTTTACCTGGTAGAATTTCAGGACAAACATGTTTAGACTTTTTCAAAGTGGTTTGTTTTGAACGTAGTGTTTTCGGTTAAACCCAATTTCAGAATAAATAAACTATGTAGTTTTGCCTAGGCCCTAGGCCAAAGAGCTTTATGTGAATTGTCATCGGATGAAACAGTTTGGCCTAGTCCAAACTGGTTTATCTTGAAACTGTTAAATAACCGTAAATCCATGTGATTTCGAGACAATACAGTTTTGTCAAATCGTAAGTTAAACTAGTCAAGTGTAATTAGATAAAATAAATTATAAAAACAGGACAGAAGTAGTTTACGCTGAAATCAGATTTGACTGGGTAGGCCAAACTGGTTCATCCTATAAACTAGTTTGGCTTAAACAAAACGTTTATTTCCAATTTTAATCATTATTGACAGAACGCTGCTATTCGTTATCTTATCTTTTATCTTTTCTATCCTTATAACAACTCTACGTAAAGGATAATTTACCGGTTAATCCTTGTGTAAATGATGAATTTTAAACTTCTAAATATTGTAGCGAGCACGAGCGTTTGTGTGCGATCGGGCATATGTGTGTGTGTGAGCGGCTTATCGATTTGCCGACTAGCCGCGGGCGCCTTTCTTCATGTGCGCCGTATTAGTAAATGTGTGTGTCGTACCTGCGTTCTGAGAAAGCAATTAAACAGTTCAAAGAAAAAGAAACTTTTCCGGACGGCTCGAGAAGGTTCCCGAACGGAAACAAAAGAGTATTTAAAGGAAGAGACGATCGCCGAGAGAGAAGAAATAAATTGACCGTTGCAAAAGTGAATCGAGAAATAAATTGACAGTGATAGCAGTGAAATGAATAGCTTAGTGAATAGTGGTATATCAACAGTAGTGTAAATAAATAGAATAATTCATCACCTAAGTTTAGTAATAATTTATAAGTGTTTTAAGTTCTTTAATAATTAGTGTAAATAAATAGTTTTCGTCTTAGAAGTTAATTTTGTTAACCCACGAACATTACAATATATTCGTAATATACCACTCACCTACGTATTATTGAGACATAAAGAAAATAAACTTGGCGCGAATTCAGACAGTGTTGAAAATTTTTAATGGAGGTTAATGATTTTTGTAAGTTGCCAGACATTTCTGAATGCCATATTATGATCTTTGAAAAAAACAACTTCCTCAAAAGCATTCGCATAATTCCATAATTGCCATTGAACTGAAAGAACAATGTACGTGGTGCCTACATACTTTCTATTTTAATATAGCTAGGTACTGAAGACAAACAAGAAATTAAGTCAAAAATAAAAATTCAAAACCGTTGAAAATATAGCGTTATTTATAACGGTGATCATAAGGCTTTTATTTTGGTTAAAGTTTCATTCAAAACCAAACTTTTATTACAACACAACAAATCAAAAAAAGTATTTTAAGCATTTTCATAATAACGTGCAATTATAATACCTGTCATCATAACTGTTTTTTTTTGTTTTTCATTGTACTTGCGCAAACAATAAAATTTTCTCATTCATATTTAAAATAAAATAAAATTGTTTTTCCACATTCATGCATACTTAGTACTTTTATGTATTTTTTCTTACGAATACATGAATATAATAATTTTCAAAATGGTGACTTAAAGACGTCAAGGGGTATTCAAATATTACGTCCACAAACGAAGAGTGTGGAGGGGTTCTAGATTTACTTGGATATAGAGTCGATATTTAGACATTAATTTAATAAGTAACAGTTATTCAGTTCAAAAATTGATTTTTTGATCTTGAAAATAATTGATTTGTTGTATTGTAATCTCGAGTTTTGATAAAAGCATAAAAACACTTAGGTTTTATCACTCAGAAGGGGAAAGTCCGCAATTTTCTTATTTTCTGTTATAAAGAGAGAGTAGGAGAATTTAAAATATACAAATTTCTACAATTACGTAATCCTTACATGCTCCCTGACCCTAAACGAAATTACTTACGTATGTTTTCACTTTTTTTCTTCTTAATAAAAACAGTACTGGTTTTAAGTGAAGGCAGATCTAGGTCGAAACATTCAAGAGAGCCAACTTTAAGGCTTTTTGTTTTTTATTGAAAATGTTCAACTATTTATTAAAACAATTATGTTAGGCAATAATAATTGTACAATCGTAGATACCAATTTAAATTACTATACGCGCGGTGCAAC